TTGGGCCCCTTTCCCCTCCTCGCCCCCAAAACCAGGGCCCTCACCCTGCATCGGGCCCCTTTCTCCTCCTCCTTGCCCAAACCAGGGTCCTCACCCCCAAAACCAGGGCCCTCACCCCGCATTGGGCCCCTTTCCCCTCCTCGCCCCCAAAACCAGGGCCCTCACCCTGCATCGGGCCCCTTTCTCCTCCTCCTTGCCCAAACCAGGGTCCTCACCCCCAAAACCAGGGCCCTCACCCCGCGTTGGGCCCCTTTCCCCTCCTCGCCCCCAAAACCGGGGCCCTCACCCCGCATTGGGCCCCTTTCCCCTCCTCGCCCCCAAAACCGGGGCCCTCACCCTGCGTCACTTCCTCTTCTCGGTCCAGACCAAGGTCCTCACCCCTCCCCAATCGGGCCCGTTCCCTTGGGATCTGGCTCTTTTCCCCACCCCAGCCTGTGGGTCTCGTCCCCCCCCCGGGTTGGGCTCCTTCCCCTCCCCTAAATCGGGGTCTGGCCTCCCCCAGGTATCAGTGCTCTTCCCCAGGTGCCATCCCCTTGGATCGGGGCTGTTCGCAGGGGCTGTCCTGCTCGCTCCGGGGGTCCCTGCGGTACAAGGAGGGTCTCTGTGGGGTCTGCTCCTCCTCGTCCCTGGGCTGAGCCCTTCCTGGGGTGTTTCCCTCCTGGGATTGGGGCTCCTTCCCAAAAGTATCCCTGTCTCTAGGTGGTCCAGGTCCCCTGGGTCAGGGTGTCCTGGTCCAGCCTGGGGTAGTTTTAGGCTTCTCTTCCCCTCGATGCTTCCCTTTGCACGCCTGCCCCCTCACGCTCACCTGTCTTCCAGCATCTCTGTCCCCAACGTCCTCCCCTCTTCCCCCCAGGATTGAGGGCAGCCAACACCAGTTGGGATCCCATCTCTCTCCCTGTAGGGTACTATTGCCTTCGCACATCTCCTCTCTGAGGCTGGTGGCCCTCCCCACCCTGAGGAGTCTTATTCAACACCCACAGCCCTGTACCCTGTCACAAACCCCTGTCTTTCTTGCTCAGGGTGATCCCTGTGGCCCTGTTATGGTGAGGGGACTCCCACGTGTCATGACCCAAAGGTCCCATGCAGAGTGAAAATCCTGTTCCTCAGGGTTGGCCATGTGGGGAGGATTATGTGTGCCTCTCACCTCTGTTCTAAAATATAAAAAGGTCTTTTGTCCCCTCTGTCCAGTCTCATCTCCCTCTGACCTCAGGTTTCAGCTACCAGAACTCAGGCCAGAGGCGTCCCCACGATTCTTGACCTTCGCTCCCTGGGCAGTGCTTGGTACCTGTCTTAGGAGGGAGCTGGGAGTGGCTCCCTTGGAAATGTCTGTGAAGTGGTCAACTCTTTGACCAACCTCCTTTGGAGGTTGCTAAGGCCATCTTTGTATCTTCCTCTGCAAGCTTCTCCATCTTCTGATGGCAGGCAAAAATCTCATGCTGGATGGGGCGGATTGATTTGCTGCTGCTCTCTCTTGGATGTGGGTGATGAATGCTATTTTGAAAGAATATGCAGGTGGTCACAGAATTCAAAGCTTGCCCCTTAAATTAACGTGCTTTCAGGGCTCAAAGACAGCTTTCCTCCAATGGATTAATGGAGGGTTTCCTGGAGAGTGAAGGAGACTTGGGCTTAATTTTTTTAGAGGCAATAAACACTTCTCTAAAAGCAGAGTTATGTTTCTAGTTGGCCTGGCAATGGAGAGAAACCTTCCAAATGTAGTTCAAGGCAGTGTTGTCTTCCTGAGTTAAAGGATGTTGAGTGCTTGCTGCTCAGGGCCTTTGCCAAGAGGCAGGGTAGCGAATTTAATCAGGTTTTGATCAGCTTCAGTGGTGCTGTTAGGAGCCCTGCAGAAACAGGGAAATTGTTGGGATTCCTCTCAATTTCATTTGTGGCCTCTTGGGGACAGTTGTTGCTTGGTGGCAGTTAGCCCTTCTTTTCTGTAGCTGTCTGGGTGCTAGGAATCTGGCAGTGTTTTTAGGCTCTGGATCAGGGCAGTAATGTAACTCTTGGAGCACGTGGCTGTGAAATATTTAGGCAAAGGGAAGCAGGCAAGCTGAAAGTTCTGTATGAACGCTCAGCTAGTAATGAGATTATATCGGATGCGCGTTATAAAGAAACTGCCGCCAGAAACGAAGACCGTATCCTGAGGGGCTGGGCAAGAGTTTAGAAAATATCAGCTGTAACCTCCTTACCATGGACGGGCATCCAGGATTTCCTGACAAATTCTTGCTAGCTCGTTTTCTTCCACCTCTCTGCCACTGATCTGAGTTTGCGTTTGGGTGAGCCTTGTGAGTATCTAAAAGGGTTGGTAGCTAGTGTGACCGCACTGCAGAGCAGGCTGTGAGCTGAAGTATTTCTGTTTACTCAACACATGAGCAGCTGCTCATCCTGGTCTGTGTTTGGGAGATGATGTTGCTGCTGCCCTGGTTATATGGGAAGTGGAATTGCTTATATGTTTCCAGCAGATGGATCTGGACAGTTTATGAATATTTCCAGGAGTATGTTTGAACTTTCTTAGAAATCTTTTGTGGGGTTGTTTAATGTTTGGCTTCTGGACCATGGTTTTTCAAGGAGGGGAGCCTGTGGGGCCCTGCCTAGGGATCCTTGCTGTAGGAGAGGGAGGAAACACTGGTATCAGCACAACCACGAGGCTGTGCCAGAAAGATTCTGTCAAAAATACTTGCAGTTGAGATGAACTTTTTCATGGACAAATCAAACAAACAACCATTTTATGCAATCCACCATCTCTGTTGACTGAAGAAATTCCCTTGGGTCCATTAACTGAGTCTGGCAACAGTTCGGCCCAGCCTTCTGTTTAAACAAGCTTGTTAGCAGCTGGTGTGAATACAGCCTATGACGGGTCTGGAGAGGATCAGGAGCGATGATGTGAGCACACCAAGAGCAGGAACTGGTTTCTGGAACACCAGTTCCAAGCAGTTCTGTTTAAATAGCAAGTTGGCTTTTTGGCTGCCCTGGTGGTCCCCAGCCAACGTTTAAACCGAACAAATGGAAATCAGGGTGGATCTGTGGCTGATGAAAGCAGGGCCAGATGTGGGTGGTATTAGTCTGGCAGATAAATTTTGAACCTGAGAACCGTGGAGGGGAGAGGAAGCTGTGAGAACTGGTGCAGGTAGGAGAAGGAAGTGGAGTCACAGAGGTTCACGCTTGATTTCTGAATATTTTGTAAGCTATCGGGTGGCAATGTAAAATTCAGCAAATGCAGAGATGGTTCCCCTGGAAGCGTTGCTTGCAGCTGCTGTTGTCATGGCATTGGAAGAGGAGATTCAGCTCCTCGGTGTTGGTCGTATGTGTGATGCTCCTTGCACGTTCTCCGCTCCCTGACTGAGCGTTTGTGCATGGGAGCTCACCCGGAGCAGAGGAAAACTTGTGATGACTGGGGAAGGGGGAAGCCATCGCTCACTGAACAGCAGTGTGAACAGAGCAGTGTTGTGTGATACTGTGGAAACCATAGAAACAATCGTAAGGTGGTGATTATACCAGGTCTTGGGATCCCAGTGAGTTTGGGGGTTGTTGGAGAGGTGACTCTTGTTTCTGCCTGTTAAATGAACAGTTGAGTTCGTGCAGGCTGTAATGATGCTTCTCTAGGTGGCAGTTCATCCACCAGAAAAGATCCTTGTAGCTCCGTGGATGTTGGCAGGGGCAAGGGGAAGGTATAAACAAATCCGTTTCTGTCGAAATGGGTAGATTTCTTCTGCTGGCTCTGTGGGTCTTGCCTGAAGCAGCCTCCTGTGTTCCACGGGCTCCGGTTACTGGCTGAAGCACCAGCCGATCTCCTAGGACCTTTAGGATTGGTGCCAGCCCGTACAAAACACAGCTATTTAGTATTCAACTGAAATAGCAAAATTGGGATTTGCAGCACGCTTCTCCCTTCTCTGCAGTGTTGTTTTTGGTGTTACCACATTAATTCTAGCCAGAGCAGCATCTGCCACATATCAAATGTTGAAGTCCTATAAATTGGTACTGGCACACAGTAAACAGCATGTATTTGTCCTTTCCAACACTTGCTATCTGCTGTGGCTGTAATTGACCTCTGGAGAGAGCGGCATATGGTGATGGCAATGATAGCCAGTGTTAATGATCAAGGCTAGTGGTTCTGAACCTTCATATCCCAGGACCTTCTGTTAAAGTAGAGATTCCGGGAGCTCTTTTCCCTCCTGAGATACAGAGAGAAAAGAAGGTCCTTCTGGGTAGTTCGGCAGGGAAAACGGGGCTCATGTGCCTGCTCTGCCAGAGACGTGCTGTGTAGCCTCGGGTAGGTTGTTTAACCTTTCCACTGCTCGGCTCCCTGTTTGTACCAGTGCAAGTGTGGGCGCCCGCAAGTGGCCTGGGAGGATGGATGATTTTAAATGGTCCTGAGGCCACGCTGATATAATGAGTGACAGAGTCCGCCCTGCGGTGGCGGGTTGGCAGAGAAATAGCTGGCTGATTCCTCTGCGTGTGATGCAAGTGTTGTGCTGCAGCTCCGTCAGGACGCAGGAGCTCTTTCCAGCAGTCTTCAGAGCACTTTGGGAAGAGGTGGGTTCACTGTCAATAGGGGATGCTTTTTCTCTTAAGGCATCCTGGAGTCCCCAGCCTGCTGGTAGAGGTTATTGACTACAAGATTCATGCTTCCGTAGCATTGCGTGGCGGGGTTGTTAGCCTGGATACTGATTAATCATGCTCTAATTCATGGAAAACAGTATCTTTTCTCGAACCAACTAGTCTCTGCTTTCTGGCTCACCATTGCCCGTTTGCTGTACAGTATTAAGCAGCTGCAAAGTTTTGCTACAGATGTGGGTTTGTCTCCATGCGAGTTAAAAGTCACTTTGCTATATGCCTTTTACCTGCTTTCCTGGAGCATTATAAAGTTTAACTAATGCTCACTTTGAGATGTCTATCTGAAAGGCATTGAGAGAGACAAAGTATTTTTATTTTCCTGAGCAAATTCCTGTTATAAAGAATCCTAGAGAGTAGACTCGCACACTCCATCATCTGGATCTTGTTAGTAAACAAACTGCGTTTTCCCATCAATTTACTAATGGTAATTGCCACTTTGAGGCTACAGTCAGGTTTTGAAACAGAATTATGCCTGGCCCATTCGTTCTAACAGCTGTCCCTGAATGACACAGAATATTGATGTGTCTTTTATTGAAAAAAGGAATTGGCTTTGGTGAGAAAGGCAAATTACCAACTACAGATAAATCCAGAATTGTACTGACTGGTGTTGCTCAAGAATTCAAGTGATCAGGAAACACGAGCATAAAAGGAGGAGGGGAAGGTAGTACTTTTCCAGCCCTATAGGGCCAGGGGTGGCTGTAGACTTCTCAGCAGTGTAGGCAAAAATGAATTCTGCTGACTGCGGACGAAGAAGGGCCAGGCCGCCCCTGCCGGGGTGGGGAAGGAGAGAGCTGCGGGCTGGGGAGCTGGAGAATCCGAGGAGCTGAGCTTGCTGTTCCTCTCACTGCCAGCAACTGGGGGAGGAGGGGGGCAACGGCGGCTTCAGAGAGAAGAGGGTCTCCCTCCCTCACCTTTTGCTATTGCCTCCGTGCCGTGATCCCTCCGTCAGTGGCATCCGTCAGCCTTTCCCTCCAGGGCTCTGGCCCGGGCAGAAAAGGCAGTGGGACTGTGGCCATTCTGACACACCAGGCAATCTGTTGCCCAAAGCAACAGCCTGCCCGAGCCCTCCTCGCTGGGGCCACCTCCGCACATAGGGCTATTTGCCTTGCCCGAGAAATTGCTCCTTTGTTCTCGGAAGATGGTGAAACCAGCAGAGAATTGTGAAGTATCTCTTTCTTAGTGCCCCTGCTGTTGTCTAGTGAAGATGTCGATTGGTTTGTCTAAAATGAGTCTGGGTTTTAAATTCTCTTTAAGCTGCACGGGGAGCTTTGAGAGCCTGGCGCGTGTTTGAGCCTCTCGTGAGGCTGGCGGGCATGTGTTATCCAGCCTGGCTCTGACCTGGGGAGGGGCAGCACTAATGTCTTACGTTTTGCTGCAAAATGCAGGCAACGGAGGCGTAATACAGTTCTTAACCAGCGCTTTCAGTGTGGGTCTGGGACTCTGTCAGGTTGTCTCTGTGCTTTCTGCCCAGTGGGGGAATAGAAAGCTCCTGAAAAAGGCATAACAGGACTGTGCAAAAGCACGGGCTTATTTTCAAGAGGATTTAAAACAGATTACATCTGAAAGGCTGGATGACTTGCAGAAAACCAGCAGCACGCTGGGTCTGGAGACAGATCCCTAATCTGAAGAGCTTGTGCTCTAGATCAACAGTTCTTAACTTTTCCAGTTTTGGGAACTCTTAAAGCCTTTGCAGTGGAGGCATGGAAATACCCTAAACACAGACTGCTGTACAGCCCAGACCATCTCTTTGTAGTTGCTGTACCTCTCTTCAGAATAGTCCATGACCCCTATGGTGATGGTCTGACACGTGGTGACTCTCGGTGGTGCTGTCTGCCACTGTACCTCTGCTCTCTACGATAACCTCTTCCAGCATAGAGAACCAAGCCCAAGATCTTACTGTCCGTCTTGCAGCCAGCACCAGCCCTGGAGAAGGTCTCTAAAGCTTCAGGTAGAGTCAAACTTTCTACAGCTGGGTGACATCTGTTTGTGGGAAGTAGGCAGGTCAGACCTGTGGCGATGGGCTGGCTCCCCAGAAGCCAGCGGTTGCTGGGCACCTCATTGCTAGGCACCTTGCTGTGACCTTGCCTTCTGTAGCATAAATACACAGACACACACACTCTGCTATATATAATCTCCTGCTACACGCCTCTCCCTGGGGAGAAGACGAGAGAGCAAACATGTGCCAGGCGTTAGTCACGTTGCTCTTGGAGGCTGCTCAGATTCCACTGCGATAAGTGCAGGAGAGGAAGCCTCTCGACAGTGCTGTCCGTTGCTGCCCTCTGCTCTCGTTTGGGCAAGCTCTCCTAGCGCTTTGCTCAGCACCACCCTCCGGGCCAGGCCCCATCACCCTTGGGAAGCGACACTTGGTGCTGACAACTGTACTGCAAGAAGGGACAGTTTGGGATACCCCTTTTCCAAGGCAGGGTGGGGACAGGGTGCCTTTCATTCCTCTCGCTTTGGGATCCTGAGGAAGGTGTCAAGCATAGGAGTTACTGTGGGAGGACAAGGTCCCTCTTACTAAAGAAAATCCCAGACCTCTGTTTGCTCTCAGACTGGCGTCAGGAACAAAGGCCCAGTGGAAATCTGACCAACAGCTGGAGGGCAGCCTGAGTCCTGGGACTGGAAACAGCCTCTTTGGCTGCTTTGAGAGGTAGTGATTCTGGTCCCCAGCACAAATCACTTCTTTCTCCATGCCTCTTCCAGAGCCAGCAACTCGAAGCCTCCGGAAAGCTCTGCTGCACGCAACTGGCAAGGGGGGAGAGGGTGCTGCTGGGGGGATTTTGCTGGCTGTTGCCAGGCTGTTGTATCTTGGGAAGAGCAGAGGCATCTTTTAAGTGAGGTGAGGTATCCTGGCACACCCACTTATGCCACTCAGGAGACTTGCAACAGGTACAACATTTGCTATGAGGCTTCTACTTTGGCAGAAATGAGGACATCCAGAGATGTCTTGATATCTCACTTTGCTAACGTTTGTGTCTGAATTTCTCACAGGGAGGAAACAGTCTCCAAGTTGCTGTTCCGCTCAGCTGTCAGCACCCTTCCTCCCCTCTGGAACAAGCTGATAATAGCTTGCTTGTGCCTTACCCACCACGGAGAAGAGGGCTGAGAACAGGCATGTCTCAGGAGCTGTCCTGTTGGGCCTCCCCTCCTGTTAGACAGCAATAATTAGCGGCTGGAGGCAGCATCTCTTTCTTGACACAGAATTAGCTGTTTTCTCTTCCCCCTCACCCTGAGGGGAAATCACTGCATGGGGCTTTCTGATGTGGCTTCCTGCAGAAGCTGGAAACTGATCCTCAGGATCTAGGAGATCCCTGCCCGGGCTGTGGTCCTCTTGCCCTTTCATCTGTTCTAGCTGCAGCTCTAGGAATGGCTCCATGCAGGACCAAGCCATTAGCTGAAACTG